GAAGTTCCCATTCCTCCAGGTGGGTGTTGCTTGGATCTGGCTGCTGTGCTCCACTTCTTTCTGCTGCAGCCTTTAGAGTTGAACCCTTTGTGTCTCTCTGGGAAGATGTTCTGCTCCTGAATCAGTTGTGTGGGTCTTGCCTCTAGCCTCTTTGCAGGGAGTTCTGCTGAAGGGTTCCATGCTGGGCCTGCGCTCTGGGTCTGTTCAGGATCCCATGTCCTGGGTAGTCTCACTCAGTCACCAGGCCTCTACTCTGGGTCTATTCAGGATCCCGTGGCCCAGGCATTCTCACTCACTTGCCAGGCCTGCGCTCCTGGTCTATTCAGGATCCAGAGGGCCCCGGGTCATCTCACTCACTCACCTGGCCTGCGCTCTGGGTCTATTCAGGATCCCACAGTCCCAGTTGTCTCACTCACTCACCGGGCCTGTGCTCTGGGTCTATTCAGGATCCCACGGCCCAGTTGTCTCACTCACTCGCTGGGCCTGTGCTCTGGGTCTATTCAGGATCCTGCGGCCTGCGTTGTCTCACTCACTCGCCAGCCTGCGCTCTGGGTCTCTAGTAAAACATTGACTAACACAATATCACACCTTTCTAATGTCATACACAGTGAATAAACACACAATTTCTTACTCAGAGTTCTTTTTTGTGGGGATTTCTAAAAAACACTTTTATAACCCCTCTAACTTCCTTCACACTTAATTTTTTTCTCTCTCTTAGAATCTTTGAAGGAAAAGACCTCATCTCTTGAAAGGGTCCTGTTTCCTTCCCTAGCCCCCAAGAGAGATCTGCTGTAGTTTTTCTGTACTTAAGTCTTCTTGTTGACTTGGATACACTCACACTATTAATATAGACCAGAATGGTTTCATCTGTTGGAGCCCCTGATAATTTGCACTCAGTTCTTCTACTGAGAAAAATGTAAGCATGAACTGGTAGTCTTGAGGAAGTGTGGTTTATTTGTCTGGGGTACTTCAGGCCACAAAAGTATACAGGTAAAAACCATGTCACTCAGGCATATGTATGCAGTTTCTCCAGCTCCATAACTTCTACTTTGAGACATCATGAAACTGACAGCTCTCAAATAAATCCTACACTCTAAACTTTAGCAATTTTTCATTCTTCTCCTTACCTGGCCTTTCTGCTGTGGATACTTTTAAGATTCAGTAAGAGTGATCCAAATGGGATGTGACCTAAGAGAAAAAATTAGTGTGATGAAACTTGCATCTTTCCCAAGGATAGAAATTCTTTCTCTTTAGGATCACAGGATTGTCTGAAGATGGATGTTGCTCTAGTGTATAATGTATCTGGCCCATCCAACCTTTGTCCTGGATGCACAATTGTTTTTAACAAATTAATTCTAATTCAACATGGTTCAGTTTATGTAAAATGGTGATGAACCAGTAGAAAAACACAGCCAGTCATTCTCATTTACAGCAAATCACCCTAGTATTCATGCCTCTGTCATGGATGGCAAGATGACTTAGAGAGTGGAGGCCAATCAGCATCGTATACATAAAGTAGGGATTCTTGTCTTTGGAAACCAGCATGACAACATGGTCTGGGAAGAAAGCAAAGAGTTCAGAGCATTGTTTTTACAGATGAAGCTCAAGATAGAGACACTGGCTCTTAAGATAAAGCAAGTCATGGGCTGGGTAGGTAGCTCAGTGGTCTAAGCACCTGCAGCACAAGGACCTGGGTTTGATCTCTGGTACCGCATGCCATACCAGCCCTGGAATCTCAGGAGCACTGTGCTAGCCACAGAACCCAGGCATAGTAGTGCATATGTGTAATCCCAGGCTGTGGCTAAGACAGAAGGATCAATACAAGTCCAAGCTGTGTCATGAGATCCTGTACCAAACAAACAAAGAAGCAAACAAATTTATAAAAAGATAAAGTAAGTCATATAAGACAAGTGATATGCAGCTCTCTATGGGCATAGTCCCCTAAATGGAAGTTCAATACTAAGAACACTATATGGATCTGTGTTTCTTTAAACTGGAGGATATGGAAGGATAAGGAAAAATATGTCTGTGTTGCTAATATCCTATTTCTTCTACTAAAAGCACCAATTTTATTTGTTTATTTATTTGAAACACTGATTTTAAATAAAATGCTTAGAAATATTATTTACCTTATGATATTTGCAAAATGAATTCTTAATAACTTTAATGTCTTTAGGTCCTCAAGTAGAATTTCTACTGACACAGGAGGTTTATTAGGAATCCTCCATATATGTTTGTTTCTGTCAATCATGGCCTTTGTCTATGGGCTACCTTGAGCAATGTTTCTGCTCATAACAGGTTTGGCTCTAGTGTTCTTTGCCAGGACTGCCTTCTCAGAGAGTCCATGCTACTGATAACCTTGACCAGCTGACCCTTGCTCCCAACCCAGTCATTGTACACTATTTTCTTCTACGTTCCTTGCAATATCTGCAATTATTCCATCATACATATTTTTAAAATTACACGTCCTTTTACTTGTTATGAAGACAGCATCTGTTCATGAATATGCAATTCATAAGCATACCTTATGCTATAACCTTGCACTGTTATCTCTTGCAGATTGTTTCTGACATCTTGAACTAGGGACACTAGCAGAGAGTTGATGCAAGTAGCGTATTTAGATGGCAATATGAGGCAATTAGAGCACCAGTAAAGGAGATTGAGCCTAAAAGATTCTGGATGCTATGTAAAACATGCATATGGGTCTATGACATTTGGAGAAGCTGTTGTAGATGTGATTTCCAAGATTACTGCATTCCTAGTTTATGGCATTTCAGAGGAAGGATGCAAACATAATGATATGATAGGGCTAAAGATCAATTCTCTGCCTGCCCCTTTCCACTGTCTCTGATAACTGATGATGAAGACAAAATATACAAAGAAATATGCCAAGCAAGAAAAACAGAAGATAACAAAGGTCTACAGAAGGGAGGACAGATAAGATTGCATCCTTAACATTTTATGCATTGTAATGGTTGCTACACTGTGTCAATTTGAGAAGTCTAGGCGCTTAGCTAGTAACTCAGTAGTTCTATATCCCGGGCTGTAGAGGATGACATGCCTTTACCTCTCTAGGATGTGTCATTGTGTCAACTGGAGAAGTTTAGAAGTTCAATTTAGTGACTCAGCAGAAGGCCAGGATCCTCACTCTGAAAACATCTTGAACCTGTGCAAAAGGGTGTGGAGATAGTGTGAGTGCTATACCCACCAGAAGGTGGATGCCTGCACACAACGTAAGGGAGGAAAGGAGGCTTGCTCCTCCCCCCTTTGCTCTTGTTGCTGTTTCTGTCCTCTAACCTCTTGAACCATTGCCCTTCTGCTATCATACCTTGCTTCTTCAGAGTCTGCTGATTATGGAATGAAAGCTCTTTTCAGTTCAGTATGCCTTTCCTTTAGTTATTTGGGGTGTTGGGTATTTTATCTCAGAAAAAATGGAAAAGTAAACAAGACATACACTCAGAGCCAGGACCTTTGGCACAGAGGCTCACAGTTCATTTAGCTCCACCTGAACTTCCAGACTTCTGTGTGTGAAGATGGCCAGGCAAGAGCTGCTGCTCCTGGTGTGCTTCTTTCTCCCTCAGATACTGGTCTCAGAGGGTGCCAAAATCCTGACTGTATCCCAATTAGGTGAGTAATTGGTGGAAGAGTTTACAGTCCTGCATAAATGGGATACAGTCCTTTTGGGTGCAGGCAACCACGGCTTAGAGAGGTAGGCATGATCAGGGATATAGAGCTAGGTGTGGGCTGGTACTGCAGGGCAAAGCAGACCCTAGGGTATATAGACTTTCTAAATGACTTCTGTGTTTTACTGAATTACTAAAATTATGAAGGACATGTAGGGTTGTTCACTCCACATTTTATGGCAGAGATAGTATTTTCTTCACTTTTGCCCAAAGCAGAGAATGCAAAATGCAAAAACTGTGAAGATTAAACATTCACAAAATGATACAGCTTCCTTAAAATATTTACATACTCCCTCATGAAATGATAGTTGCTTCTTTCAATATTAAAAAAAAAGAACCTTGAATTTGTGGGTCTTCAAGCTAGAGGGAATCAAGAATATATACATCTAATTCTGCCTTCATGTTTTGTTGTCCCCTGTAAGCCTCCTTTGCAGGAGACTCTGTGCCTCTCTAATATCACACAGTAAAAGCTACACACATTCTTTTTAATGTGGGAGAATTATAGGGAAAAAGCTCTTCTCTTAAAAGCTCAATATTCTGTTACCCCAGCATCTAAAATTGAGCTCTCATAGCTTGTGGTACTAAAATTCTTATTTTTACCCTAGCATGCACTCCTGCTCATTAATATCCTCCAGCAAGGGTGCCTCTCTGGGCACCTTCTTCCTTGCACTGAGTTCTGCCCACTCAAATGTAAGCTGAAGCAGGCAATCTGAGGTAGGTGGTTTCTAGCCTACATGCCCTCTGTTTTTTAGAACACAACACAGCTTAGGTCATCAAAGCTATGTGGAGACTTCAAGTTACTTGAGTGATCTTTGGTGGAGGATTACAGCTGCTTAAGGCTTGGAATCACAGGCTGGGTATTATCCAAAGTAGACAGAGCAGCTAGAAGAACTAGCTCCATCTTTGCACAGTTGAACTCCCTATTTTTCTCTATCATGGAGTTTTATTTTCTTCTTCCAACCTTTACATTGTTCTTAGAAATTCCACTTTTATCTTTACAAAGTTGGTATCATGTGTTGTTTCAGGTGCAAGTCATTACATTCTAATGGACAAAGTGTCTTCAATTCTTCAAGACCATGGTCATCAGGTGACTAAACTTCTTAATAAAGAAGCCACTATTCCAGGTACTTGTTTTTTTTTTTCCAAAAAGTAACTATTACATATTTTCATTTCAAAAAAGTTGATAATAATTTCTGTATGAAATTGCTTGATAAGATCATTTGTTGAGTCTACTTGTAGTGAGGGATAAATCTCTGTGTCTCTGTCTCTCTCTGTGTCTCTGTCCCTCCTCTCTCTGTGTCTCGATCTCTCTCTCTCTCTGTCTCTCTCTCTCTGTCTCTCTCTCTCTGTCTCTGTCTCTGTGTCTCTGTCTCTGTGTCTCTGTCTCTGTCTCTCTCTCTCTGTTTCTCTGTTAAGTGTTGGACATTTTCTTAGACTTTGTACCTAGTGTAGGTCTTCCTATGTCATACTTTTGTATTTTACCCCAGCTAAGATTTGTATATGATTTCACTGTATGGATGGAATGTTTATGTGCTGGGACACAGGCAAACAAACAGAGAGGCATTTATTCTTTAAACGATTGATGATAGTAGAATGTGATTTGTCTATGAGACCCACCCTTGAAAAAGAATTATGTAGTTATTATAAGACTCGATTAATCTTCGTGTGTGTGAATTATTACAAAAAGTTAAGCCTGTATCTTTCCTGGTCTTTTTCGTCTTCTCTTGTCATGTGACTTCTCCTTCTTGCAAGTATCTTGCTATTGGATGCTATCCATCATGTTGTGGCACAGTCATAGGCACTCAGAATAAACCCTTTGTTCTAAATAACGTACCCAGCCTCATTATTTGTTATAACAACACAAAATAGATTAAAAGTTCCATTTTACTAAAGACCACTTCACTACAGGCCACAGTCCCCACCTCATGACTACTTTGAGAAATTGTAGTTTGAACCAATTTTGAACTGAATAGCCCCAATAGTCTGCCATTGTAAAGGTTTTCATTATACAAGTATTTCCTGTTCTCCAGATTACTCACTGCTTTCATGTTAGGCTAAAAATGTAAGAATCATTTTCCCAGTGAATCTCTTATTAATTAATCTATTAAGATTAAGATACATGATGGAATTGGCTATGCATTAGTTGCACATAATGATGTCAAAAATTTAATTGATTCACATCATCTAGAGAATTAGAAATTAAATGAAGCTTTCAATTGTTGTTGACAGAGAAGTACATAGAGACCCAGGATATTTAAATTGATTTTTGCCCAAGTCTCAAGGCAAATGAATATCACAGTTGGCTGAATGTGGTTCTTTGAACTGAGGAGTCTTATTCTAAGGCTTTTTGAAACTTGGGAGACAAAAACCCAAGTTAAATATTTTGATGAATAAAGAGGCCAAACAATTATAAAATTTGAAAGAGAACCTTTGGCATAGTTATAGTGAAGATGGTTTTACAGCACCCAGTGAGTTTCTAGATTGTGTTCTGCACCATTCACTGAATCCTGGTCATCTGATTTCATAGCACTAGCATGTAGTCCTTCTGTTTTGGTGACTCCCTTGACATTTTTAACAAAATCTTAATGCTATAGACTCACTGCTACTTTACAAACTGTGAATATCTGCCAATAATTCAGCAATTCATGGATCCCTTCAGCTTTATCATTAAATGTCAGTGTTGTATTACATACTTTCATCTTTCCCAATCGCTCAACATTTCTAAGGTTGAAATACAGTATTATTTCTTCTCTTCTGCAATGAAACTTGTGTTTTCTAATTTGAAATTAGAAAAAGCACATTAGATTGCTTTTGAGAACTGTCACCCAACTCTGTGTATTGAGATATTTGAACTCATAATACTTGTTTGCATCATTTCTCCATTTAAATTTTTCTTCTTTATTTTTATTAGTCAGTGCTGGTTGTACCAATGTACTAGTGTAAAGAATGTCTTCATTCCATTGAGGAGTTGATACATGTCGATGACACATGTTAGTGCTTTTTATTTGTCACCTTACTTGTGCACTCTTTCTTCCAAATTTTGTCTTCCAGTTTGAGAAAGACCTATCTCCACACTTCCTGTTTACCTCACTTTACTCTTTACTGCTTCTTACACAAGAGAAAGCATGCAATAGTTAAGCTGTGTGTCTGATTTCTTTTGCTTCACATTATGGCCTCAAGGTGCATTTATTTTCCTACAAATGACACATTAATCCCTTTTTATGGAGAGTATGATTCCATTGTGTGTAATTTTTAGGTTAAGTAAATAACTTTAGAGCTAATGTAAGCAGATAATTTTGGTGGTAACGTGCAATACTTTTCTAATTCATACATAAAATCTAAAGTATGAGATTGGCCTCAAATGTTAATTGTTTGATGTTCCAAGCATTTTATTTTTTAAAAAGCAAACTTCTTATAGCAAAAGAAAAGGGACTAAGAGAGTGGATAAAGGCATCTGGACTTGTCTGTCTCTTCTGGCCTCATATTGCACTGTTTGAATAGTAAGTTTCTATTTGTTTCTAAGGGTTCTGATGGAAAAGTTCCTCATGTCAGATTGGACTGAGATATTTATGCTATGATAAGTAAAGATTGACACTATATTTCACAACTTTTGTTCATTTTTATCTCCATCTATTCTCAATGTTACATCAATTTCTGTTTAATCGTTAATTTTAATTTTAACTGAGAAATGACATAAGACTTTGTTCAACCACAATCTTTAACCTAACTTATCTCAATGAGTGAAACTTTATTTACTTTTTAGATCATTTATCCTTTTTTCCCTACTTTTATTGATAGACAAATAGCAGTGAGACAGTTTCAAATCAATAGCAGTGAGACAGTTTCAAATCAAATCGCTAGGACAGTTTCAATAATTAACACACTGCATACATTCTTCTTAG